ATAAAACCCCTGGGAAGCCATTTGGGATTTATGAGCAAGACATTCCTGTGCCTACAACCCCTGGCAGACCTGATCTGGTAGTCATGCCTAAAGATTGCTGAACACACACTGATGAAAGCACTTACTGTCATTTTCATTGGAGATTACAGACAAACCACTTTCTCCTACTTCCCAGGATCATTCCCAGGGCATGGGCTAGGCTGGAGCGAGGTCATCTGTACCCCTTCTGCTGAAGTTGAGCCACTGTGCAGAGAGAAATGCAAATTCTTTGTGGCCAGAGGGTGAGCAAGGGAGCAAGTCCAGGTCCCATTCCTTGCTCAAGGGATGGCTTATGCATTTTATATTCAGGAGTTGTCAGACAGAATGTCAGACAAAGAGCAGGGACTGGACCCCAGGGGTCCCTGCCTCCCAGAGGAGTCTTTTTTGCTAGAAACAAGAGGCTGAGCTATCGGAAACAGCTTGCTGTCCTCCTTACTATGTCCACTGTCACCACAAAAAGATGTGTTCAAGATTTTCAGTGTGACTTGCACTGGTGGCTGTCCAAAAAGGCCTGTTAAGAAAATTCTGAAAATCAGGGCTTTCTAAGGTATTTCAGGTAGGATACCACTAAGCTGAAGTACTCAAAATCATCCAGTGCACTAAATGCCCTCTTAGAAACAATGTGGGTGAAACTAGACTAAAGCTGTGCACTAGTATGAAGAGTCACAGGACAGAGACATAAATACATGTAGGAGAATTCTTTCCACAAGACTCCACCATTCATTTTCGGACCTCACTATACTCATGCTCAAGAGCAATTAACAAAATACCTTTAAAAAGTGAGCCTGGGAACAAACTACCTAGCTGGAGACTAAGGACTGAACACTATTATTGGCTTATGGCAATCCTTCTCCAGATAATCTTTCTTCATATTACAGATGATAATGTTCTTCTTCCCTTTTGAAAGACCTTGATCTTCCACTAATCAAGCTATCCTTTCTTCTGTGACTTGCCTGTCTGCTACCCCTGGGAATTTCTCTCTTCCCCAGTTGCAGAGCACTGTGGACTGTTTTTAATCTTTGCTTTACCTGCATCTTCCTCAGACCTGAAAAAAAAGTCTATTCCAACTCTGCAGTTGGTCCAAAAAAGAGCTATCACACACAGAAATCATTGCCTCTCTCATCTTTCCAGGATCATCACAGCTACAACTTCACTCAAAAACTACAAAATCCTCTGCTGAAAATCTAGACTTTTAGGCTAAGTCCAAATGTTCAAGAAGCCTGAGGCGGAAGCACTCTAAATATAACGCTTTACTCAAAGCGCTCTAGACCAGAGGTTGCCAACCACCGGGCCATGGCCCAGTACCAGGCTGCAGCAGGTTGGCTGCCAGATCATAGCATGAGCCCCCCACTCAGACCCCTTTCTGTCTGCCCAGGCAAGCAGGGCACCATCAGGAAGCTTTCTGTTGTAAAAGCCGTGCGGCGGAGCAGCCCCGGGAAGGAGGCAGCCAGCTTCACATGCCCCATCCTGCTCCCACCAGGCCACAGTATAAAAAAGGTTGGGAACCAAGCTCTAGACTAGGTCAGGACAGAACCAAACACATGTGTGCTGTTTGGTGGCAGGGAGGTGGGGCAGGAGCCTGCCTGCACAAGCTGCAGCCAGCAACCTGGGGGCACTCCCACATACCTCCCAGGAGGCTGTGGGAGCAGCCAAGCAGCCTATCATCCCTGAGTAGCTAGTGGGGCCCTTCTCCCCAGCCCCACTCACACACCAGCTGGCTGCTGTCAGCACCAGCAGCGGGGGGGTGGGAATGAGAGGGAGAGGAAATGGAGCCTCTGCCCCATAGGTGTAGCCTGGCCCCCAACCAAGACTTATGTCCGCAAGCTTGAAGAGGAGGGAGGGAATCTGTATAGCAGAGAGGCTCCATTTCCCCAGGCTGCAGCCAGGAGCCTGGGGCAATGGAGCCTCTTTGCCACATGGACCTGACCCATGTAACTGCTGGGAAAAGGAGCCCAGGGTCTTTCTCCCACAGCCCCCCTGGCCAGGTTGCAGCATACTGCAGCCCAGCTAGGGTGGCTGCTGAGAGAGAGACCCTGGACTCCTTTCCCCACAGCCCCCCTGCCCAGGCTGCAGTGTGCCACAGAGCTGTTGGGACAGAAACCCCCCTCTCCTCCAGCCAGCTTGCATGCAGGATTGGTATCGGGGGCTGTCACTGACTTAGTTCAGTGACAGCTGAGAGGGTGGGACTAGCCTGGCATGGCGCTCAGGCAGAGCACAGATCTGCCCTAGGCCAGAGAGCAGCCCTGCGCAACAACACCTGGGATGATGGCAGTCATGCTCTAAATTAACCCTTCATGGGATTTAGCACAGAAGTTCGATAAAGCACTCTAACAGAAAGGACCCTCTCACTTCAGTCCCTGGAAAAATCATGGAGCAGATTCTCAAGGAATCTAAGAAAGTGATTGGGAACAGTCAGCAGAGATTCACCAAGGGCAAGTCATGCCTGACCAACCAGAGTCCAGAGGAGAGCCATGCACGTGATCAGAGGGCAGGAGAATAAGTCTTATGAAGAGAGGCTGAGAGCCATGGGACTCTTCAGCCTGGAAAAGCACAGGCTCAGTGGTGACCTGGTACCTGCCTATAAGTACATCAGGGGTGTGGATCAGAATCAGGAGGAATGTCTGTTCACCAGAGTGCCCCAAAGGATGACAAGGACCAATGGTCACAAACTCCTCCAAGACCGTTTTAGGCTGGACATAAGGAAAAACTTCTTAATGTCTGAGCCCCCAAGGCCTGGAATAGGCTCCCTCCAGAGGTGGTGCAAGCACCTACTCTGGACTCCTTTAAGAAGCATTGGATGCTTATCTTGCTGGGATCCTTTGACCCTAGCTGACTTCCTGCCCTTGGGGCAGGGGGCTGACTCGATGATCTCCCAAGGTCCCTTCCAGCCCTAATGGCTATAAAATCTATGAAAAACCAGATTGCCTTCTCTGACTGGCTCTATGGGTGTGGGAAGACCAGGGATGTGATATACCTTGACTTTAACAAGGCTTTTGATATGGTTTCGCACAATATTCTCTCAGGCAAGCTAAGAAAGTATGGGTTGGATGAATGCACTGTAAGATGGGTAGAAAACTGACTGGATCATTGGGCTCAGAGGGTTATATTCAATGGCTCAATGTCTAATTGTCAACCAGTCACAAGTGGAGTGCCCCAAGTGTCGGTGCTAGAGCCAGCTGTCTTCAATATTTTCATCAATGACCTAGAAGATGGCATAGAGTACACCCTTAGCAAGTTTGCAGATGATACCAAGCTGGGAAAAGTAGTAGCTATGCTGGAGGGTAGGGTTAGACAAACTGAGAGATCTAGACAAATTGGAGGCTTGAACCAAAAGAAATCTCGTGAGGTTTAATAAGGACAAGTATAAAGTTCTGCACTTAGGGTGGAACAATCCCATGCACTGGCACAGGCTGGGGACTGACTGGCTGGGCAGCAGCTCTACAGAAAAGGACCTAAGGGTTACAATGGACAATAAGCTGAATATAAGCCAGGAGTGTGCCCTTGTTGCCAAGAAGGCTAATGGCATACTGGCCTGCATTGGTAAGAGTGTTGCCTGCAGTTCCAGGAAAGTGATTATTCCCCTCTGTTCAGCACTGGCGAGGCCACATCTGGAGCACTGTGTTCAGTTTTGGGCCCCCCACTACAGAAAGGATGAGGACAAATAGGAGAGAGTCTGGCAGAGGGCAACAAAAATGGTGAGGGGGTGGGGCACATGACTTCTGAGGAGAGGCTAAGGGAACTGGAATTAGTTAGTCTGCAGAAGAGAAGACTGGGGGGATTTAACAACAGCCTTAACTACCTGAAGGGTTGTTCCAAAGAGGATGGAGCTAAACTGTTCTCAGTGGTGACAGATGACAGAACAAGGGCCAATAGTCTCAAGTTGCAGCAAAGGAAGTTTAGATTGGACATTAAGAAAAGCTTTCTAACGAGGAGGGTAGTGAAGCACTGAAACAGGTTACCAAGGGAGGTTGTAGAATCTCCATCCTTGGAAGTTTGTAAGGCCTGGCTAGACAAAGCCTTGGCTGGGATGATCTAGTTGGGGCTGGTTATGGCTTTAGAATGCTTTCTGGCTGCTTAAGCAAGGTAGGTGTAACATCTGTACCTAGCCATAGTGACTGAAGCTATGACAGTGAGATGCTATGAATATGGCTCTGCTCATCTGGGGCATTGTGCCAGTCAGTGACTAGTCCCAAAATGGATGCTGAGATGGAAAGAGAATACCACTACTTCCCTTCCACATCAGCCTGTATCATGTTAGCCGCTCACAGGCTGGGGGAGAATTGACCTCTGTGTGTAAGTTGCTTTAGCTTTAATGTAATGTGTCATGTTGACTTTGTAATATTAATTCCATGAAAGAAAAGGCAGAGGAGATTATTTTACACACACACACACACACACTGTCAAAATATTAAAATCTGTAACAGATCATGTCCTCCTTGGGGAAAAATATCCATGGATACTCTCTGATAGCATCATAAAGGGGAACACTTTTATTACTTGAAGTCTTGAGCATATTACCATATTTACCTGAATCCAAAACTACTTAAAATTTAAGAGGACCCCACCCAATAATTAGTTTCTATACATGGAAAATTATATTTTTTTATACTTTATAATTTTCCATGGATAGAATATAATTACTGGAGGGTCATCTTAAATTCATGCCTGCCACTCCCCATCTCCCCCCCACTATTGTGGCAAGGAAAGCAGCAAGAGGGCATCAAAGGCCAAAACTTTAATCCTTTGCCCCTGCCTGTGCTTTTGCCCCCAGTCTCTCACTGCCTGCCCACTCCACCATGTGCCCCGCACTTCCCCCTGCCTGTCCTATTGCCTGCCCCCCACCATATGCCTCCCAACCCCATGTACAGTCATATCCAAGCAGTTTTCCTATCACAGATTCGCCTCTCTTCTTGCTCCCCACATTATCTTGTTTATAACCACCTTGTATTTTGATCTTTCAGACAAGCCAAAGCCATGTATTCCTGCAAGGCTGAGCATAGTCATGAGCTTTCCTTCCCGCAGGGGGCAATATTTTCTAATGGTAAGAAATGTTTAAACAATGCTCTTGCTTTATACAGAATACTAAACTAAACTGATCTCTGAGATAAAAACAAAGACATGTCACTTTGTTTCCCATTTTCACTCTCATTATCAGTCTGATATTGTTGATCCAATAGAGTTGATAATTGTTGGTTTTTTTGGTTTTTTTGTTTTTGCAGTGTACCCATCAGTGGAACCAGGCTGGTTAAAAGCAACCTATGAAGGCAAAACAGGGCTAGTTCCTGAGAATTACGTTGTCTTCCTCTAGTATACTTTAGTGGACAGCAGTATCTTCATGGTATCCATGGTAACAAATAATAAACACTATGATCTTTATCTGACACAGATATGGGGATCAGCCTGTTAGTCAAGAGTAGTATATCTCCTTCAAATTCTGTAACTCCACATTATATTGCTCCCTATGAATAGAACAGGACATAAAGAAATAGTTAACAGGGTTTCTTTGTGCTAAAGATGGTACTCTGTTTAAATAACTTCAGCTGTTCACAAAAAGGTTGTTCTGGTCTTCTTTTGCAGATAAAGAACGTTACAGCAATACCATCAAAAAACATGTCATTAGCTGCAAACCATTTGGGGCCTGAGATTTAACCAGACCAATATAAAATTTACAGTCAATGCACTCTGGAAATTTTTACAATCGCATCTTTTAACCTGTAAAATAATTATAATATTTTTCATAATGTAAGACTTATTTCTGTTATGATACATTTCTCCACCAGAAAACTTGATTTGGACATTGGTCCTAGTCATTTCAAGGAATGAGTTACTTTGTTCTTAAAGCAAGGTTTTGAACTTGTGTTATACAATGAAGTTACAATATACGCATGCTACTTTGTAAATAATTTATATAACTGAGAACCAGATTAGGTTGTACACTGACAAAGCCTTAAGTGCTCCTCCAAAATGTGATTTTGTTTGGACTGGTATTTCATTTGAGCACCACACAGAATTTTTATGTCTTTCTTTCTTTCATCAATATAATTATATATTAATAATAAATTATATTTATAGCACCCATCTTCCCTAGGGCATTCTCAGCTTGTCTAAAAACTGAAATACACAAAACAATAACATTCTGATACTAACATTATTGGAAAACATTTATGGTTAGCACCAAAGAAGGACAATAAATCTAAAATTTGAAATACATCTGAGTCTCACTTCTACTTGTTACATTTAGCTTTTCCCCAAATGATCTGGGAAGTAGCTAATTTTATAAGCTATGAATTCTGAAAGCTCGATCTAGCTATTCAAAGTGTGTGATATTAGATAAATTTGGTTATTTTGTTGAATTTGAATGGAATTTCCTCTGACTTTCATTGAACTATTTGGCCACAATTCAAAAGCATGCTAGTGGAAGGCTTAGAGCAGGGCTGTGAAACTCATCCGACCACATGGGCTGAATGAGTGGTGCAGCACCTGTCCATGGGCCAGTCTGGAACCACAGACAAGACCTGCATTCAGATCCAATGCATGTCCTGCAGTGGCTGGAGTGGATGCCTATGCAGCCCAGTCCTGCTCCAGCCACTTTGAGGGCTGTACTGCATACAGCAGCTGTTGAGGGGCTTTGCTGCACAGTCCTAGAGGCACCATCATGGAACTGTGCTGCGTACACTGAAGCAGCAGCCATGGGGCTGCGAGGCCACTGCATGCAGCATAGCGCTGGAGTGGCACACAGCTGCTCCGGGGCGGTGCTCTATGTGGCAGTTGCTCCACTGCTCCAGGATGTGAGCTGAAGCTGGTAGCTCATAGAGTCATCCATTATGCTTCGCATGCAACCTGTTGGCTATTCTAAAACCTATAGGCACCGCCGGGTGCTGGATCTGGCCCATAGGTCCTATATTTGACTCCCCTTTGTTAGAGAAGTGTTATATTGCGGTGGGCTAGTAATTATGCAAGAAGCAAGGATTTTTTCTTAAGGTGATATCTTTTATTGGACCAACTGCTTGGTTGGAATAAAGTTAGACAAGTTTTTGAATGCAATGTATTCTTCATCAGGTTCATTAGATCTGATGAGGAATGCATGATACAATCCATTCAAAAGTTTGTCCAACTTTATTCCAACCATGCAGTTGGTCCAATAAAAGATATCACCCTTAAAAAAAATCCTTTCCTTCCACATGAAGTGTGGTAGTAAAATTACTTGGCATCAATATCCATCGATTACTCATTCTAGAATTTAAAAGGGATCCGTTTTATATATTACTAGCAATACATTTTGCATAAATTTTCCCACCAGTAAAAATGATGTGTTAATAAAAATGCTATTATAAGCTGTGAGTTGGCTGACCTAGTCCATTGAAGAATAACAGTCCATAAAAGGAGAATAAGGAGCAAGTCATAAAATCGTTGCAAGGGAGGAATGTTAACAGATGTCCAAGTTAGAAATGCACTCTTTCTGCTAAAATAAATACCCTAGTGTCTAGTTCTGAAGTCCTTATTGATGCATCTCCCACTGAGTTTGGACATTCCCAATCACTCAGTAGACCTACTAACTTGGTGGACCCCATTCTTGGGGAGTCAGTACACTTTTTCCTCAACCTACTTTGAAGCCTGTGCAACTTATGCTTGCATTTATACTTGTTACTTCAGTGTAAGTTTAAGTAATTTGCAAATTTGGGACTAACTCTTGATTATGGTACTTGAATAACACGTGCTATTCAAGCAAATGTATTTCACTTCCACATTAACACCTTGTGGCTGAGTTCAACATTTTTAGTGCTACAGGACAATTTTACTCTTGTGCAGACTTAATGACTGATAGCAGTTTCTTGAGTGGCGATATTTGATATATTGATCCTCTCTTTACTTGGGCAGTAGGTGCTACTTTCTGCCAGGGTAGTTAAGAGCCTTTAATGGAGCAGAAAACTGTCAAACCTTGAATCACTTTCAAATTTTCCAACACGTTGCCTTATAAGACAATATACAAAGACATTTGGGAGAAGTGTTTCTCTGGCCAACTACAGTTTCTCCTGAGAGAGTTGCTGCTCTCCCAAGAAAAACTAGGGATGTACAGATGTTCAGGATATTTCTCCCAGTACAAAAATGACCTGTCTAGGAGCAAAATAATCAGAAAACAACTATGGTTAAATTGCTTCTGGGATAGTTCCACCTGGGACAGTGAATGTCTGTACGCATTCTGAGGGAAGCCACAGCACAGTCCTCTAGCATCCCAGGGTGCATTGCTGCTTCCTCCCTGCCTCCCTGGGAGACAGTATTTCACTTTGGCTGGAGTCTACTGCCCCAGCCAAGCAAGGGACAGAATACACCCCCTCCACAATCCCCACAGTATGCTACAGGGAAACACAGGCTGATCCTGAACAATGTGGGTCAGCCAATCAGGCTGTCATCCTTCTCTAGACACACTGAGGAACAGGCAGTGCACGCTGTGATGTATGCACGAGGGCTCCCTGGCTGCACAGCATCAGCACCACAAGTCTCAGGTTTTTAGGGGTCTCCGAGTAAGCTTTTCTACCAGGAAAACAAACCTGGGGAGAGCTCTCAGACTATTTGAACTCGTTTATGCAGCCTCTGCTTGCTTCTGAACCTGCTTTCTGCATAATGTAATGGTCGTTGCTTACAGAAAGTCACTTTCTTGAGCAATTTTACTGCTGAAGTTCAGGCTTGTGGCAAAAGTTCACATAGTGCCTTCTGTACACAATTTTAAGTGTTGGACGGAGCTCAGCAGGGAGTACAGGCAGAACAGTCCTACGCTGAAGTCTAAGTATCTTCTGTGTGCCACAGACAGAGGCTCCCTGCCAGCTTCAAATACACAGTACATAGAGCTCAGCTTAAAAGGGAGGATGGACTGCTGCATCCATGACAACATTTATTCAGTGACCCAACATGATTTGGCTCATTTGTTCTGCTTTACTGAGGAATTTCATAGTATCCCAGTTCACTGTAAGGAAGGTTTCAGCTCATCTTATGAAGAAAGTGTCCACCTCCTGGTGTTATAAAGGGTAATTCTAAGCTGCATCTTCTTGCACTGCACAGTCAAATACAGTACCCTGATGTACTTGCTTGATAGGAGCATAAGAGATAAAGCAGAAAGCAAGTTCCCACTTAGCACATCACATCTTGCAGTTCTTACGGCTTTTTGCACTGGGAGAAAAACTCCCATCAACTCCAGTATATAACCTACCTGCCATCCAGTGACCCCAGGTAACCTCTCTACATTTTACCAGCTACATTCTGTCACCCAGTCAATATTCCCCCTTTTTTCTCCCCCTGCCTACCTGTCTCACACCTATTGTCTCCCATCATCTCTGATCTGCACTGCCATGCATTTGCATTTTCACTGACCTACATTTTGCATATTGGTTTCTGTTCCATCCATGAGAACACACAGCACCACCAGACTCTCTATGCCTGAAGAAGGGTGTTTGTACCTGAAAGCTTGCAAAGAAAACATTTTTCCAACTATTTAGCTGGTCTAATAAAAGATATCACATTTACCCAAAGAACCTTGCCAGCCCTCAACTCCAGTAAGCACTTTGCTCAAGTCAGAGCTCCAAGGGTTTTCTTTTGGTAACTAACCATTGAAATTGTAACTTATCCCATGTTCTGTTTTGCCTAAAGGCATGAACTTGTGGTTGCTGGGGTGACAACTGGCTTGCTCTACCTGAGGGTCCCAAGGAGAAGTGATGCAATAGGAGAATGGACTGTGCTTAGGAAACTAGAACAGGCAGTGACTCTAGCATGGAGCAGTCTTCAGCTAGACTGTGGCTGGCCCCCACAGAGGGGTGCACTAGTTGGGGGAGGCCACTCCTTGAGCTCTGATTTCCTACCCTCACATATCAATCAATTACTTGAAGATTAATATTTCTATACTGCTCTGAAGAGTAAACTTCAGTAAGCTTTTGAGGGGACGTGAGGAAGATCAGCATTTTCCCTTCAGCCTATGAATTGTGTGAGCCACTCTCTTCCTCAGCAGGCTACAGCAGAAAGGTGTCTGGTACACAGGAATCTGTGAATGTAGTTGTAAAAGGATGTAGCCAACCCAAGAATCACATTTCTACTTGATATGATCTAATACCTGCTATTCGTTACAAGGTACCCCTGAGGAGTACTTTGCCTGGGAAAGATTAGTGATTTTTATGCAGGGGTTGTTTTAGGTTCCCTTGATGCATGAAGTGGGCAGTTTCTTTGTGTTCAGTTTTATTGAGGATGCCAGATCCACCTAGATGTGCAAGATGATATCAACCAGGAGCAGCAGCAGCAGTAAAACTGGGAATGAAGAGGGCAGGAGTGTCTAGAGGGACCAGACTGCCGGAGGTGGGGGGGGGGGGGGTGGCACATGGGCTCGTGTG